TTACAATGAGGTAGAGCAGTACCGGACAGGAAATAGATAAGAATAACAAAAAAAACATGCAAAAACATTTAAACTGCAACAAGCGGAAGAAAGAAAGCAGACAAGTTGACCAAATCATTGGTGTTACCAGTGGTTTGTTTTTGTTTTTGTTTTTTGTTCTTGCATTTTAACACCCGAGATTGAAATGAACTCTTCACGATTGGCACTTCTTCCTGATCTGCTCATGTTATTGACCTGCTCTAGTTACGCCAAAATGAAGGTTTTTTTATTATTATTATTTATTCTTTTCAAGCCCTGTAGCAGCCTGATACATAGACCTTTTCATGAAATTATAGTAAAGTGTGCTTTTTTGCTTACCTGTTTATAAAAAAAAAATCATGGCACCCCCTGGTGGTCCGGAGGTCCTAAGCAACCGAAAATACAATTTATAGCAAGAAACGATCTTGTGTACAATGTACTCGCAATGTCTAATGAATTCAGTCCATTTTGATATAATAAGCCCTATTCAGATTGGATTAGTTTATCAGGGGATGTTGGTAATACATTTATTTATTTATTTATTTATTTTACACATTTCCTCAGTAATAATCACGTACATGTGTATCTGGGATAAATGAGATGAGTTTGGTGAAAAACAGCAGGTCATTCATCGGTAATCTTCCCCGAAATTACCCCCAGGATTACTGTCTCCGTTTAATCCCATCCAAATAGGGCTGTAAAGTCAACATTTCAACATAGAAAGTCAAAATTCACCCGAATAGAAAGTTCATGTGATGTTTACATGGATTTTTCGACACTTTTTTCCACATTTTTCATTTACTTTCACATGTTTGACGCTTTTCTGCATTGTGTTGCCATATGGCAACAATTAATTGAGCTCCAGTTTATTTATTTATTTATTTATTTTGATAGACAGTTATTACCAAACTGGTATTTTCCTGCGTAACTTTTAAAAGTGGGCTTTAAGTTTGACTTAACAAAATAAATAAATAAATAAATAAATAAAGAAAGAAATAAATAAATAATAATAATAATAATAATAATAATAATAATAATAATAATAATAATAATAATAATAATAATAATAATTGCTGTGTTACGTGACCAGGAAGTATTGTTTGCACTTCCTTTTCTGCAGTCACGTGGCAAATTCACATGTATACATGTTCCCAAGGCAGGGCGTGCTGAAATGCACCTTCTCGTGTTCTTCATATGTGATGAAGTGTTCATATGTGATATGGATATATAATACAGAGATAATCATTCACACTGAGTCATTATTAAGGCACATATTGCTGCCAGAAAAAGAACAAAAATGAAGTGTGCTGGAATGGCGGAAACGGTCTTCATTGCATCCTTTGCTGAAGTGTGAGTACTAGGATGCTTTAACACGGTACATGAAGACTGAACGCCGCGGGTCCTCGTGCACGCGCCCAGGCTGCTGTTCCGGGAGCGCGCGCGCACTGTCATTAAGGCTCATAATGGCACCGGTTTATTTTCCGACGGTGCAATAATCACCAGCTATCTCATTAGGCTTCCTCTCGGTGCTGAGCGCTCCCTGAGGAGCTCCTCGTGTCTATGAGGTGTTAACAGCTCCCTGCGGGGGGGAAATCAAATCACATCCAGGCCGCAGATGGTTGCAGCAGCAGCCACACTTTTCAATTACCGCCGTGTGGAGAGAGGCTATTGCTCATCCTCCACCACACACACACACAGAGTACAGTGTGTGTGTGTGTGTGTGTGTGTGTGTGTGTTTAGGGTTGGAGGCATGTTTTGGATAGCTTGGTGAGGACCAAATTCCCAACAGGTTATTAATATCGATACCGATTTGTCCTTGTGGGGACATTTGGCTCTTGTTTGTTTGTGTGTTTGTTTGTTTGTTTACGTGTTTACGTTTGTTTGCTTTAAGTGCAGTATAATATTCAGTGCAGTAATAATTATTATACCTGTAATGGACATGGATAGAAGGATAAACGCGTGTGCGCGCGCGCGTGTGCGTGATCATAAAGAGCCCCTTTTTTTCGTCATTTCGTTCCTCAGTAGCACTGGTTCAGTTTATTTTCCAAAAATTACAAGAAAAAATTAAATAAAATCAAATATGCTAGTGCATGTGCGCGCGCGCTTTATTTATTTATCTGTCTGTTTGTTTGTTTTTTGTTTTTGTTTTTTTTTCCGCGTGCCTCAGACTGGTCATAAATCACCTGGCGCGCGCTATGAGCGCTATCAGCCCACGTGCGTCCCGGGGAATGAACGTGCGAGGCCGGGGAGGAAAGGGGAGGTGATCTTGGGGGCACGAGCCGAGGCGAGGCGACAGCGCGCTACTTAGCGTTTAATTTGAATACCGTGACCTCCCAGCTGGAGGTGACCCGCGGGTCAAAAGGCACGCGCTCTCTCACACACACACACACACACACACACACACACACACACACACACACACACACACACACACACACACACACACACACACACACACACACACACACTTTAAAGCGACGTGCATTTTAAACACTGCATGGTTCCATGATTATTGTTTTGTTGTTATTCTAAAATGGAAAAAAAAAATCCATAAACATAGTTTTATCATATAGGAGCATTTATATCATTGTAGTATTTATTTATTTAGCATTAAAAAAAATAATACATAATTTATACATTCTGAGCATTTATTTGTTTGTTTGGCTAGATAAATACATAAATACATAAATAAATACATTGCATTTCGGTAGTAATATTTATTTAGGCTAATTATTTATTTGCTAATACGTTGTTTATTACAGAATTTAAAAATAAATAAATAAAAGAATAGTACAAAAAATGAATACTAAATGATGAAATAAACAATATTATTAATCACTAATACAGAAATATAATGTGAAGGTAGTTTGAAAAAAAATGTACACACAAAAACACAAAGAATTGTTTCAACAAGTCTACACGTAAGTGCTATAATCATTTAATCACGATTAGAAACACATCGGTGTATCGTTTCATTCTGAAGTCAGTAACGGGAGTGTGTTTAGAGAGTAAAATCTGCGTCAAATCTTTCGTTTTTTGGGGTTTTTTTTTTCTTCTGTTATCAATCTTCAGTAAATGCATCTTGAGCTGGGGATTAGTGACACGTGGATTATAAAGGAGCAGAAAAAAAGAAACAATATTTAAAAAAAAAATACTAATAATAATCTGGACTGAAAGATTAAAAAAAAACGTTTCTGTCCTTTAAAAACAACAGATCTTTTTTTAAAAATATAATAATTTAATTATCTTAATCATTAGAAAAGCGTCTATTCTGAATAAAGGAGGTTTCTCTTCTGCACAGATCATTAACATGAACACTACTGGGGAAGTTTTAAACACGGTTCCTTTACTAGCAGGGGATTAGTGGATTATTGGTTATTGGATCAGGATAAAAATGTACCTCTCTGTACCTCACCACCTTAAAAACACTTTTAAAAAAAAATGTAAATACTAGTCGATTTCTTTTATTTCAAGCAACGGAATAATGAAGCCTTGTGCGTTATTGTTTATGAACTGATCAGATTGGCCCTTTGACCCCACGTGCATGTCTCACTGCTCGCTGTTCCTCTTTTATTTGGTGCTTTCTCTGGGTGTTTGTCGTGTGCTGGTGAATTCACTAAGCGTTTCCTCTGTATTAATTGTGACTGTGTTGCTTTTCGGCTGACAACAAATCAATCAGGTGGCAGGCTGCACTCGGGGTCTCGCAGTGTTTCCATCAGACAGCAGGACGTCGTTAACATTCAGCGCCGACGCCAGCACGGCCGCTCACTTCACCATTCATCTCACTCACATTCTTCTCCTTCGTTATTCCCAAACACTTCCTCTTCTTCTTCTTCTTCTTCTTCTTCTTCGTCTTCATCTTCTGCTTTTAGATTGTTTCAGCAATGTCAACTTTGCAGAATCCACCCTGTGACCCTTCACGAGAAAATCTGGGCAAGAACGTGCCTAAAAATGTTAAAATTATGAGCAAACACTAAGCATGGAGCATACATATTAGCAACTGATTTAATGACATATTCATGTATTAGTAGGCGGTCGATGAGTAGGGCTTTTAATGAAGCGAGCATTTTTACCCACAAACCCTCCCACTGAGTTCAGCTCGTTATCAACATTTATTCAAATTATGTCTACTAATAGAAAATTTTTTTTAATTCTGGTTTTTTTTTTTTTTTTTTTTTTTTTTTTTTTTTTTTCTTTTTTTTTTTTTTTTTTTTTTTTTTTTTTTTTTTTTTTTTTTTTTTTTTTTTTTTTTTTTTTTTTTTTTGGGTTTTTTTTCTCAGGTACTCCGGTTTCCTCCCCCAGTCCAAAGACACGCATGGTAGTCTGATGGGCGTGTCTGAAGTGTCCGTAGAGTATGAACGGGTGTGTGAGTGTGTGTGTGATTGTGCCCTGTGATGGACTGGCAACCTGTCCAGGGTGTACCCCGCCTTGTACCCCATGCTTCCTGGCTCCTGGACCCTGAAGAAGGAATAAGCAGTAGAAGATGGATGGATGGATGGATATATATCTAGGTTAACCATATGTCTGTAAGATATGTCCAGGTTAACTAATAATGCTAATTAATAAACACTTAATTCATCTTGCTCTACTTAAAGTCACAAAAGATGTCACACTAACACCCCAGTGACGAGTGTTTTTCGAGCAGAATGTGTTTAATTCAAGCTGTTGTGAGAAAGCGGTGCATCTTTATCTTGTCGTTGTTGTTGTTGGTGTTGTTGATCTCTCGGTAATTCCCGTGTGAAAGGCGGTGTCACTAATCCCCGCGTCACGGCGTGTTTATTGAAGATTAATAACAGAGCGGCGAGAGCAATCTCTCTGCGATGTTATACAGTTGTGCTCGGGGGATCGGGCTTTAAAAAGAAATAAATACATTTGGATGTTTTTTTTGGGGGTTCTTTTTTATTATGGATTATTTGATACTTTATACGTTTTTAAAAAAGCGAATAAATAGACACACAATTATGTAAGAAGGTGATGAGGGTGGCAGTGTGGTTTAGTGGTTAGCACGTTCACAGCCACCTCCCGGGTTGTGGGTTCGAATCCCGCCTCCGCCCGGTGTGTACATTGAGCTGCATGTTCTCCCTGTGCTGTAGGGGTTTCCTCTGAGTACTCCGGTTTCCTCCTCCAGTATAAAGTATGTAGTGTGTGACTGTGCCCTGTGATGAGTTGGGACCCCATTCAGGATTTCCCCCATCCTCTACCCCGAGTTCCCTGGATTTTTCAGGAAAAATAGGAGATATTTGTAATAAGTTAATACACATGTGGGTGTGTAAGAGGGTGGGGTTGATGGAGGAGGTGTGTTCTCTTCCCACTACAGGAAAATGGTATATTGCATATGCAGAGTGGTCTCGTCCATCTCATTGTCCTAATGGATCCACACACACACACACACACACACACACAAAGAAAGAAGCAGGGATTCAGATGAAGGGGGGGAAAAAGATAAATTTCAGCAGAGGTAACAGTTCGAGGTTCAAGGTTCAGTTCTGATCCGAATTATTTATACCTCTAATAACGGAGTGGATGAAATAGTTTGCTCGTCCGTGACCCTGGTGTTCATCGAAACCTCATCCCCCTATCTCAGGGCACGTAAGAACGAGTGTATGTGTGTGTGTGTGTGTGTGTGTGAGATGGTGCAGGTTGTTTTGTATTCCGTATGGAAATGACGTGTGAAGGTTATGTGAAGGATGGCACTACAGGAAGCACACGGGGAGAAAAATCTCGAAAGTAAATATATAACAGAAGATATTTTATTATTGCGTGTACTTTTAAATATATATACGAATAATTTATTATTCGTATATATTACAACAGGATGCGCCAAAAAAAAGGAGATGTACAGTAAGTACGTACTACGACGAGCGCATCAATTTAAAACTTCGATTTCGCAACTAATTCTGACCAATCAGAATCCAGAATTCAGCAGCGCAGCGGTATAAATATTCAGAATATTCCTACAGACATGTCTTTATAGCTAAATGTTAACGTGAGACTGTTTTTTCTTAGCTATTCTTATTTGCATCGCAGTGTCTGTGTTGGTTACAGTTTTCTTGATCTACTTCTTACCGTGTATTTGAATAATTTATTCATAATTAGCATGTTATTCATGCTATCGCGTCTCATTTCAAGCAACTCTATTGTTTTTTTAAAAAATTATTTTTATTTTATTGTATTTTATACCATGTAGCCATACAGTATTCTTACAGCTAGCCAGTTAGCTAGCAGGTTATTCATGCTATCACTGCTAAATGGATCCATTTCTGACACAACAGGCTCCTTTCCAATATGTTTCCTCAGCGACTTGTTACTGACTCCTCGGAATGAATTTGAATAATAAACACTGGTCATATCAGGTTGGGATCTATTTTGTGTAAAATGAAAGGGAATTAGCCTAGAAGCTAGCATGATATCCGTACAATCCCTTCAACGTAGCTAGAAAGAAAAAGAATTTAGAAAGAATTCATATTTAGCTGCTTAGCTAAGAAGCTATTCATTAAACATCAGGGCTAAATGTGACGCCCGTTTCTCGGCGAGTGTTTGGTGACACTTTGTTCCGAAACACGTTTCTTTCGGTTTTCCCCATGCCGATTTCTTGTCGAATTTTTGTTTATTAAATGTTAGCATGAGGGACGCAAGCTAGCAATATCTTTAACTGGAGATTTTCACCGTCTCATCTCTCTCAGGTGTTCCTCAGCTCCTTTATTTGATGAGAAGGGTAAGAAGTGTGTTTGTGTGTGTGTGTGTGTGTGTGTGTGTGTTGAATTTATGGCGAATAAACACAGAGGGTACGAGTGCAGCAGAGATATTGATCACAGTAGCGTGTGTAGCTTCAGCGTCCCGATCTCTGACCCTTAAATAGCGAGGGAATCTCAATCCAATAGACTGGAGTGTCTGGCCCTCACCATACAGCAAAATCCTCCCCACACACACACACACACACACACTCTCTCTCTCTCTGAGCGATCGATACAACCAAACATGATTTCCACATTACAGATTACGGCAGTCTACTTATTAATGGAATGGAGTTTTGTGTGTGTGTGTGTGTGTGTGTGTGTGTGTGTGTTCATAGGAACTCGTATGGCGGACCGCTCTACAGATTAAAAAACATGCGTAAGCGATACAATGATATGCTGGCTTTTTACGTAAAGACACGCATGGAAGGAGTCTCCAGTGCCAGGACTTTGTAACAGTCAGAGAGGTTACTTAGCTAGTCGAGTTAGCTGCTAATCTGCTAATGAAGCTAATACGAAGCCTGGTCGATTTTCACACTTTAATGCAGTTTATTAAAATACACACCTCTCCGGCCACTTTAATAGGCACAGAACTGTCGCTCGGCCGGTGTTTTTCGTTTTTTCGCACCATTCTGAGTGTAAAAACTCCAGAGGAGTTTATATTGTGTGGGAAAATCCCAGGAGATCAGCAGATTCTGAAATACTCAAACTAGCCCATCTGGTACCAAGAACCAACCTCCACGCCACGGTTTACTGTCACAGAGATCGGATTTTTCCTTCATTCTGAATCGTGCTGCTGCCACATGATTGGCTGACTGGATAACTGCGTAAATGGGGTGAAATCCGGTGGACAGGTGTTCCCAATAAACTGGACGGTTGAGTGTATTTTACTGTAACTGTACAGTACGTCGCTGGTAAAGTAATTTACTGTAAAGGTGACAGAAATCGCTTTACCGCGCAGGTTTCAATGCCACGCGGTCGTCTATGAACGTGGACAAAATGACGTAAACTACATCTCTATCTCGAACCCTTATCTTCCTCTGGTGTAGGCAGTAGAAACGATTATAATCGGATTATAATCCAGTGTCAAATCCTATACGCCGTACACTAAGAATTTGTTCATATTGCTCAATAATAATGGTTTTTGCTGAGTAATTTTGCTCCTGGTGTTCAGGTCGAAGCACGGTGCACGGCGTGGGTTTAAAAGCGCGCCCGCTTTATAATCTGCACTGATTTATTTTTTTTCCCTTCAGACTTAAAGAGGCTTAAGCGCTACCTGTTAATCTCGATATACTAATACGCTTTTTCTTCTCGAAGCCAACAGCAAAGCCGAGCCTTATTGTTCCGAATAAATCTCCCACCACGTATTTTTACAAACAGCTCCACGTCTACGTCCACGTCCGTCCACGTGGTGCCGGTTATTTCTATTCGTTTATTTGTTTATTTTTGTTCCTTTATTATTATTATTATTATTATTATTATTTGCTCATCTTTGCTGAGAGCGTTTTGATGTCTCCGCAGCCGAGCAGTTCAAAGCCTGGTCTCGAGGGACGCGCGCGTCCAAGTTCAAAAGGGCCACGCTGAGAACAAGCTCTCGCTCGGCAGGCAGCACGGAGGAAATCAGCTTTCTGTTCGTCCACGGCCTCGGAGCATAAAGAAGACTCATTTCTTAATAGAGGCAGAGAAACGCTCTTCTATCAGATACATGGGAGAGTAAAAGCGAGAAAACCCTGGGGATGGAGGAAAGGGTTTAACTCTTATTAGTGAAGCAAAGAGCTCCAGAGAACGCTCGAGATCAGAGGAAATGAGGAGCGGAAATAATAAAACGTCAATTAACATTCATATCAGGTGATTTTCTTTTTTCTTTCTTTCGAGAATTAGGCACATGAGGGTTTTTTTTTTTTAAATAAAGAATTTTACTATTTATTTAAGAGTAACGAGAAGCCAGATATTGATTTCTTTTCAATATTCGGATTTATTATATGTCTTTTAATTCTAGTGCAGTCTTTTCACATCGCTGATAACCTAAAATGTTAGTCGTTAATTAATCATTAATGATCCATTAATTCGTTTTTTGTTTTTTTTTAAGTCGGTTGTAGTTTCGTTAAATAATTAGCTGAAAAACACAATCGTCAGAAATATGAATTAGTTTTTTAATTAGTAATTTTTTTTTAAATTTCATCTTATTTGTTTTTGTTTGCATTTTAAATTGTTTGAATTTTTCAGATGAATGAGAAGCTAAAATGCTAAAACTTTAATTAACATTCATGTCAAGTGTATTTTGGGGGTTTTTTTTTGTTTTTGTTTTTTTAAAGAAATGACTTTCAGGGTTAGACTATTATATCCACCAAGTGAAAACAAACAACAACTCATTTATTTATGCATTTGTTTGTTTACTTCAAATATTAAACACGTGTCTTCTCTTCATAACCCTTTTCCACATCCGGTGTCCATCATTATTGGCACCTTTCATGTTAATAAGCTTGCGTGAAAGACATATCACGCAGAACATTTCATATCCGCAACGTTGCGTGACAGACAGCCCGGCTCTCCGGATTAGAACCAGTCTTGGGCTTCGGTTTTAGGCTCACACCCAAGCTTGGACTAGGGTCCAAGATCCTCGACAAGCGTCTCCGACGTGACTGGCCTTCTCTCTGATTGTAGGGGTGCCAATAGTTTTGAAAGTACTAAAGAAAACATTACGTGGGCGCTAATACAGTGTTCAACTAAAACTATGAACTTGAACCTGTGTCTAATATGTTGACCGTATCACTCACTGCGTAGGCAGGTTAGGGATTTTATATTGAGTCTCTTTCAATGGAGGGTGCCAATATTTTTGGAGAGCTGTGTATATTTATGGGATTCGCATATAGCTAAGCATTTTAGACTTCTGTGATAAAGAGCATGTGGATATACCTGGAGACAGAGTGAGTGCGTGTGTGTGTGTGTGTGTGTGTGTGTGTGTGTGTGTGTGTGTGTGTGTTTTAGTGGTTGATCAGACACCAGACAGGCGTCTCATCTCCCCTCCACCTCGCCTTTTCTTTAAAATATTATAATTATTGAGATTGCTCGGTCTCCTTGTGCATAAGTGATGCGTGTTAAAGCCGACCTGGTGAACGTGTGGATTAGCATGAGAGGCTCTCCTGTTTATTTAATGCGCTACATGTTAAGTGTGTGTGTGTGTGTGTGTGTGTGTGTGTGTCTTTGACAGACGATGCCCCCTGCTTATGTCTCTGTCAAAGACACACACACACACACACCTCCTTTTCCTCTGCGTCTCATCCCACCACTAAGCACACAACCTTTTTACGTAATGAAAT